AAAACACAGCAAATACACGAAACCCATCCCCCGCTTACTCCCCCTTTCCTCGGGCTGCGGGTGGTTGCCCTCAGGCGGTGGCGGCCAGTACGGTGCTGCTGGGCGCTCTGTATCTGCGTTGGCGTACGGCAATCGATCCAGCTGCCGTATACCGCAAAGCCATGGTCCAGCTAAACACCCACCCGGGGGTCCTTGAGGTACCCATGGGGGCGGAAAAAAGGGGGGGGGGAGGGGGGGGAGGGGGCCTGTTGGGGCACTTTTGCATACCCAGCTGATCTGGGGCTGAGTCCTCCGCCTACTTGTCTCAGTTCATTTGCGTGCCATGCAATTCATTTTGATCTGGGGGCCTAAGAGTTCTTCCCTCTCCTTTTCGGATTCGACCCAACGCCCCTAACTTGTTTGCCCCTTTTAGAGCCACTTCCTGCCTCCCCCCGGGGGGCATCACATCTGCCTGAAAGTAAGCATTGGTTCTTAGGGTTTTACTTTACGATTTCCCGCCCGCCCACCCGGGACACACACACACACACACACACACACACGCACACGCCTGGCCCCTTTCCTCCAGGGTCTCTGTACTCTTCTACGGTCATGTGTCGTGTGTCGTACGTTGCCCCGCCGTCCTCCCTTTTGCCCCCTCACTCCGCTTTCCGGTTGTCGTACAGGTCATGGGCGCTCCTCTAGTGGGTAGTGCCGTACGAGCATACGTGGTAACGGGAGGGGGACTGTACCTTTCGAAGAAATTTCGGATCAAGGTATTGCCGTATATGTGAGGCCGTGCGTGTGTGTATGTGCGCGTGTGTGTGCAAGTGCTGTCGGATCTCTCCTCTCCTCTCCCCTTCCCCGCTTCCGCTTCCGGCGGCACGTCACCCATGTTCCATCGCTTTTTCTCCTTACTACCTCATTTTCGTCTCGTCTCGTTTCCGTACTGTCTCAGGAATCGTCCCCCCTCCCTCCCCCTTCCCCGCCCGCAATCCCTGCTTTAACCCGTCCTCCCCCCCCTCCCCCCCCCTTCAGCTCCGCTCCCGCCGCATCCAGATGATGTTCCCCCTGTCGGGGCCCGACCGCAAGGGGCTGGTGTCGCTGGAGGCCAAGAGGCAGCAGGTGCGGGGGAGGGAAGAGGGGGGGAATGACGAGCCACGAACGAGTGAAGCTGCTGCCAAGGAGCAGAACTGACCAGTAGGCGTTCTTGAAGGCGACGACCTAGGGCTGATAATGGTAATGATGATGACCGCGGAAACCTACCTACCTAGCCGCCAAAACTAAAGTGAGCGCGGAAGAAAAGTAAAACGAAGCCGTAAAGAAGTAAAGGCAACCGTTACCAGCCACATGCCCCGTTTCGCCATCGCTCCCCTCCCCCCAGGGTCGTTACGTGTGGAAGTTGTTGGCGGTTGATCTGGGTCCAGAGCTGCAGCAGGCGCTGCCGGCGGGAGGAAGTACGGGACTGTCAGCGGCACCACCGCCGCCATCGGGATTGCCCGGGGGATTGTCCCCCGCCCCCGCCCCCGCCCCTCCAGAGCCGCCCTCCTACCCCCGTGTGTATGCGGTGGGTGACCTGGCGGCGTACCAGCGAGGGGGGGTGCTGGGGGAGCTGCGGAGCCCTTTCCTCAAGGTGGGAGTTTGGGGGGGAAGTTGGGCGGCTGGGAAGGTTAACGTGTTTTTAGGGTGTTGGGGAATTGGTTGGTTGGTTGGTTGGTTGGTCTTAGGGGAACGGGGAAAGGTGTGGAAGCGTCGTAGTGGTGGTTTTGTAACAAGTAACAAGTTGCAAGTTACAAGTTCCGCACACAAGTGCGGGTGTGTCCGTAAAAGCCGCGGGGGCCATGGACGTTGTATTGGTATTAGTGCGGGTACGCGGGAGGCCATCCTCCTCCTCCTTCGTTCGCTTCAGGGTGAAGCGCCTCAGCGCGACATGCCTGGCCTCCCAAATTTCTGAGAGGTACCTGGCCAATGCCAGGGGCGGCGCCTCAGTCATAATGGTGCGCATGCTGCGCCCCTTAAAGACTATCTCACCATCGTACTTCGCCAGTATGCTCTTGTTAGCGGGGCATTTATCAAAAACATGCAACTCATCTTCAACCGCTCCACAGTCACAAAGCCTGCAGGTACGCGCGGTGCGCTCACGCCCCTTAGGCCTATTAACCAACAGTCTAACCGAAAACGCATGAGCACATGATGTAGTCGCTGGGGGATGGTCACTTTAGTGTGCTCCAACCAATCGAGACGCGCACCCTTAGGCGGGGCCGCTCCCATCCAGTTCATATAGCGACAAGCCTTGGCTCCGGTAATCCCTATGGGGAAGACGCGGGGTTCACCCAAGGTCGCCTAATAATGGCAGTCCCTTAGGAAGCGAACGGCCCGCTAAACAGGGCTTCAAACAAAGTACTGAATTCGCCTGTATGTAAATTTTACTCTGCTGGCTGAGAAATATCTTCGACAGAGGAAATTTTCCCCCGTCTCCGTTGCGATGAGAGCTGAACAAAAAATCAACGAATGGTCGTACATGCGGACCGGAAAGGGCTCGGATCGCCCGCCAGAGTATTAGGTAATGGAGCTACATCCCTCTGTTGATATATCTTTCCTTGATGTATCTTTCTTTTTGTTCGTTGTAGCAGTCCTGCCTTATCGCTTCATGCAGCTAGTTCCTTTATGCTTTAGCGCGATCAGCGCAATTTCAGCGCTAGTCTAGTCTGCCTCGCGCTGCTGTCCTTCAACCGCCAACGCACGCCGCAAAAATCGCCCGCCATCGTCGTCGTCGTCGACGTCGTGGTGGTGGTGCCTCATTACCCAACTGCTATATGGATAATTTATGATGATATCATAAATGTAGGCTGCTATAGCAGGGGTTGGCTGGGGTAGACGGGAATCGCTGATGACGATGAGAAACCTCAACCGCCAACTGCAAACAGCAACCTTCCAACCCCTTCCACCCTCGTTAAAATCCCAGGCATTGAGCAACTCCCGATCTTACGAGGTCGAGGACGAGTTAGAAGACGAGCTGGACGAGCTGAACGTCCCGAAGTCGTCGTACGGCGATGGCGCGGTCGGCGCCGCCGTACGGAGAGCGCTGTCATTGGCCAGGGCGGCGCTGTTGGCCAGGCCGCAGCCCTCAGCCGCAGCCGCCGACGACGCCACCAGTAGTGCTGCTATTCGCGATAAGGAGCTAGGCCCCAGCCTCGATAGCCGGGGCCAAAACGATACCACAAGCACCAACACAAGCACCAGCAGCACCAGCAGCAGCACCACCACCACCACGACCAGCAGCTCAAAGACGCAGTCTAAAGCAGCGGAGACAGGGTCTGCGTCGGCTTCATGGTGGGGTAGGTGGCGGAAGGTGGTTTCGGGGCCCCCGGCGTTGGCTTCGGCGCCTGGCCTGCAGCCGGACACCAAATAATGTTCTGTACACGTATTATACACCGCGGAGGTCGCTGTGAGCCCCGTGGGTGAGGGGTTTTTCCCGGAGAGGGGGTGGGGTGGGTGGGGGAAGAGCGTGATGGGTTTGGAGGGGTGGAGGAGGAGGAGGAGGAGGATGGGGAGTACTGGTAGGTGGCTTCGGGAGTACGATTGGCAGGTGGCAGGCGGGCGTGTAGGGGGGCAGGTAGACCAGCTGGCAGGTCGTGTTTGGCGTGGCTGTATGCGTGTGCATGTGCATGTGCGCATTTGTCCCTGTTTATTGGTTGGTTAGTTAGTTAGTTGGGGTGCGGTGAGGGGGACGCTCCATGGGGGAGCGGCCACGTGACATCTGACGCCCGTTTGACGAGTCTGCATGTATGTGTGCATCTATATAGGCATGTATGTATGTATGTATGTATGTATGTATGTATGTATGTGCGTACTGTTGTCTGTGTTTGAAGGGGTCCTCAGCTGGTGTTGTGTGTGTGTGTGTTTGGCCGGAGGGCAGCCCGCGTGTGCGTGTGCGTGTGCTGGGGGAGGGCGGGGGTGGGTGCCGAGGTAGTTGGGAGTGGGAGGGAGTGGGAGGGAGTGCCGAGCTAGGTGGGAGCGGGGGTTGGCTGCGGTCTCGCTCGCTTGTAGGCGGTGGGCGGCGGAAGGATGAAAAGGTCATGGGGGTTCCTGTGGTAGAGCATGGGGACTTGCGAGAGTGGTTGGGTGCCATCAGTTGCGATGCGTTGAGTTAGTTGATGCTGATGCAAATGACGAAGAACGTTGTGTTGGGATGTAGAATTCTACAAATACGGAACACACAGAGAGCCGGAAGGATGGACGGATGGATGGAAGGGTTGAAAGTTTTCTTGGAATCGGTTGGGCATGGGGTTGGGAGTCGGTAGCTCGGCATGGCGCGAGATTGAACCCAATCGCCTGTGCTGTACGATATCGGTCTACCGGTAAAAGCGCGGAAACCTAGCGCGACCGAAGGATTGCTCATGATGGGAACCGTCTGGGAACATAACTTTTTGGTTTCATATTTTCCATGCTGTTTGATCAAAATGACGGATATCGCTGTCACTTCCTCGTACTGTACTGCTACAGAGCCGGCAGTTGCAGCTGGTGGTCATGTAGCTTACTCATCGAAACACGAAGATAGGAAGGACGCTGGAGATTGCCGTGTTTTGCTGCGGCGATTGCAGCGGTCGATGCCCAGCATGTTGGAAGTGTACTTCGCAAAGCTACAGTTCGCCCGCTTTGCAAATTGCCAAGCTACGGAACGCCATATTATGAAAATGTCGCCGACGAGAAAAGCGCTGCAATCGCAAGTACAACGTATTTCCTACCTTTGCGCGTTTGCGGCGCACGGGGTGCGGGACTGCCTTTCCAGGCAGCAAGGGCTTGCCAAGGTTTTCTCTCGTACCGACTATCATGACGAACGAGCGAAGGCAACCGGAAACAGCCCATCGGTCCAACTTCAGCTCAATTCCCGAAAGCAAGTCCTGGCTGTCGTTACTATTTTGACAGAGATGTACTTGATCCGTTCATGTCGTGTTCTCATAATTACGTACTGCGAATACATTTTAAGTTGACTTTGAAGCTCCCAGTGATTTTTGCTACGGAGAAAAAGCGGTCAGTAATACAATCACTGCAGGTGCTATAATGGCGGGAAACCCGAGCGCTTGGCTACCAAAAAGCCTTTTGGGGCGTATTCTGTGCATTAAGCTCATAGGAATTTGGGTGCTGACTCTGCCTTTGGACGCGATCAGCATTGACCAGTTTCAAGGTACGCAACTGGGCCTGGGCAGGGCACTGTGAACTGCAACAGAACAATCCACAATCCTGATTCCAGCTTTACTATCCACTGCTTAGCTCTCATAGCGCCCATCTTCCTGTTTCTGTAAAGCATTGGCAACCGGCTCGATGGCGTTCGTCAGTCAGGAACGTGTTGCCCAGTTTGGAACATGTCCATCGGTTCGACCTTTCAAGCGTCCTCACCCGTTTCCAACAATTGCCGGCCATGAACAAGTGTCCTTTAGCAATATAGCATTAAGATTTGTCGCCATGTGTCTTATCGTGCCCAGGATGCGTTGCTCAAGCTCTACCTCGCTCCGATGCCTCTTCTACATCGACGCCGAACCCCGCAAATCTCGCCAATCCATGACCGGGGCCTTTTTCCATTCCATTATGCCGCACGCCGGGTCCTCCATTTCCACGGGGCCCGCTTCTTTGTCCCGCTGCTAACATTCTTCTCTCCGAACCATAAGGGAGGCCCCTTACTGCAGCTCATCCCTTACTCCTCTGTAACCGCTTTCCCTACGTCTGTTTACAGGCCCTGCCACCTCCCGTGCTTCCCCAAGCCGCAAATCCCCCTGCTTGCCCGTGCCCCGCAACCCTCACCCTCGTGTGCCCGCAAGCCAAACTTGTGGTGCTGAATGCGCCGCGCTATGGACAGCAGCTCGTTGGCAGTACATCCTATCATGTTCGTAAGTACAGCAACGGGGTAAGTGCGGCCGGCTGGCTGGCGTTCGGGGGCGTTATGATGCACTCAACGGTGCTTCCGTTCTGCAAGGCCTTTATGTGTGGCCGAGAGGTTTTTATATAATCATCTTTTTCATGTAGGACTGTCTCGTATATAGTGTTACATTATGAACTTTCCGACTTGGGGATCCATTCCTTGCCTAAAGGCCTTTCTTGATTTGGGAACTTTTCGCTGGAGGAACATCTGCGCCCACAGACATTTGTTTCGTAGCATTTTTCACTTTAAATAGCACTCTCGTCTTTTACGATTTAAGAGTGATGGGGGATCTCCTAATTCGTTCGGAGATTCCGTTAGGGGAAGTTCCCGGTAGCTAGGTAGATGAAGGGATTCGTTCATCTGACTCAGCTCAGCCTAATTCCCAATTCCTCAATAGGATGCGATGGAAGTTGATCACTTGCCGTACAGAAACAGCGCACTTCCTCGTTAGGCAAGGTCCTAGTCAGTTGAGAATCGCCTTGTCTGGGAGTACGCCTCGTCAGGATATTTGGGAATTGTGCTTTCCCTAAAAAAACCTTCTCTTCCCTTTTCAGCTGGGCAGTGGCCCTGACGAGCGCATGACGTTTCAGCCGGATGACATCCAAACCTGCTCATACGAAACCTCACAACATACAGAAAACAAAACCTCATGATTTTGCATATGCGCCTCAGAAGAGCCCAATCGCACACGAGTACCGGTATGGTAGGCCCAGATGAGGACGGGCAAAAGGGAGGGTTATTGCGCGGAAGGAGAAAATCCGCGCCGGCGCCTGCCTGCCTGCCTGGCGGGCGAAGCAGCTGCGACGCATAAAGTTTCAAGGAGAATGAACAAGCAACAAGCGAGTCACAAACGTAGTATAAGTATATTGGTAATAATAAACGACAGACAGAAGAAAAATTAAGAGGGAAGGAAGAAGAAGAAGAAGAAGAAGAAGAGCTAAGTTGCGCGGCTCTCTATGCAATGTTGTGTGGCCGCAGCTTTCCATCATCATCATCATCATCATCGCCACCTCGCCGGCCTGGCACTGGCTGGTAGCCCGGGACCAGCGGTGCACCCACCGCGGCGAAATGCGAAGCGACACCCATTGCGACGACCTAAATCGATATGAAGGGGAAAACGCAGGCAGGCAGGCACACACGAGGGGAACTCAATCTACGATTAAAGACGCAGAGAACGAGCGCGATGGTGATGGTGATGATAGGTAGCGATCAAACTCTCATTCAACAAGTTCACAGTAGTAGTAGTAGTAATGCGAAAATGTGTGGAAACATTTCATATGACCATTCAGACCCGACCAAGCGCGAAGAAAGGCCCTTGTCGTGTTGTGTGTATATCGTAATATGTGTGTCTCATTGATCTTAGACGCACTGAGGAAATGCTGAAGGGAAGTTGTGTGTGTGTTTATATGTGTGTAGTAGAGGCCTTCATTCAAAACATGAAGTGAACGGGCCCTGACACGTCAACCTGTACGATCCTGCATTACAGGAATGGGTGCTGTACAGTCTGGTCTTCGGACCCAATGTGGTCCCGCCGGGCCCCGAGCTCAAGACTGGTGAGAAGAGGGGGTTTTAGGGTTTTGGGGTTTGGGGGATGGGGCCGGGGGGAGAGGGGGGAGAACGCGGGCAGCGCAATGCTGTGGGGGAGGGGGGGAGGGGGTTAGCTGCGACGGAGGGGGACCTCCGGGAGCACATCCTTGGATTTGGTGGCGGGGATGTATCAATGCATACACACACAGCTGTAGTTATATTACCGTTACTGTTTGCAGCAGTAGCAGTAGCAATCGTCGTGGAGGTCGTCTGACGTTGAAAATTGGCGGGCGAAAGGTCCACGTCTGTGTACGGCAGCTACATACCTCTTCGCACATGTCGTACAAACCATGTCGTGATTTCGTACATTCAGGGGATGCTGTGGAACTCATCGTGGATCTAGACAAGTCTGGTTTCGTAGCCAGTACGAGCAACCCCTCGGCGGTGTTTGGCGGCCCTCCGGGCACGTTGTACGTCTGGTCCTGGTCAGGAGTGCCGGACAGCAACATCGACTACCCGCTGTACCCGTCCAGCTCAGTGTACTACACGGGCGATACGGCCAACCCGCTGCGGCTCAGCATGGCTGTGTGGGTCATCACGAGCGTCTGCGGCTCACCCGTGGCCAGCCCGATGACAGCACAGGTAAGGGCTGGCGTGCATGTGCCGTACATATGAAGTGCGTATGTGTGAGTGCGTATGAGTGCTTGTGCACGCATGTATGTATGTATGTGTATGTATGTGTGTATGTATGTATGTATGTATGTATGTATGTATGTATGTATGTATGTATGTATGTATGTATGTATGTATGTATGTATGTGTATGGGGGGGTCGGGGGGAATCCTTGTCCCTCTAACCACGTGTGGGGCGAGGACTGGCAGCCCCACCGGGAATCCAACGGGAAGACCGGCGGACGTCACCTTCCTCCCCCTCCCCCCAGCTCCCCCTCCCCCCAACTCCCCCTCCCCCCAACTCCCCCTCCCCCCGGCAGAGGGTATCGGAGGTGCTCTTCGGGGCCCCCGCCGGCGCCGCCCTCCGACCGCCCGCCGCCAAGAACCCCGTCGCGCCTCCCTTGGCCCTAAACCGCCTGCTATCTGAGTGTTCGTACGGCAATATCGCACTCAAGCGCTCAAACACACTCGTCCTCAACCTAAGTCTGCCGTGCAGCGGCACGAGGCCCAACGGCGCCAAATGGGACGCGAGCCCGGGTTCAGCCGGTATCTCCGGCGCCTGCGGCATGGACGAGCTGTTTGGCTGGATGGAGTATGCCGTACAGTTCACCCGGCAGGTGGGTTTCAGTTGAATGGGGTGGGCTTGGAGGGTTCTAGGGTTTCGCCTGTCTGCACGTCTGTTTTGTGTGTGTGTGTGCGTGTGTATGTGTGTGTGTATGTGTGCGTGTGTATGTGTGTATGTGGGTGTGGGTGTGTATGTGTGTGTATGTATGCGTGTGTATGTGTGTGTATGTGTGCGTGTGTATGTGTGTATGTGTGTGTATGTGTGCGTGTGTATGTGTGTATGTGTGTATGTGTGTATGTGTGTGTATGTGTGCGTATGTGTGCGTGTGTATGTGTGTGTATGTGTGCGTGTGTATGTGTGTGTATGTGGGTGTATGTGGGTGTATGTGTATGTAAGCCCGGCATGTGGAAGCCTTAAGATGCGGAAGCCGCATTTATACCTCGTGCTGTGTGTATGTATGTATGATGTTACAGGGTGGTATAGCTTCACCAGCGGCCCCCTTTCCCTTGGAGGCAGTTCCCTGCTCTCCCCTGCGAGAGGGGCACCCTAATCCATTCACCCCATCCGATTTCAGAATGTATTCGTTGGGTTCGGCAACTCACCACCAGCATCCAACCAAATCTAGCGGACCAACGGCGCCACAACTTAGTTCCTGGTCAACTCGCAAGTTGTTATAATCACGTCCCACACCGTCCACAAGATGGGGGGCCACCTCCCAAGTCAACACCCCTCACACCGAGGGGTGGGCAGGCGGATTTGAACCCGGAATGTGTGGAATATTGAACCCGTGTATGACTTAGATTACACTGTGGGCCGCGAGAGCCGGGGGCCGAAGCCGAAACACAGCGCAAGGGTCGGGAGCACACAGCACAAGTCGGTTAGTCTTGTGTGCTCCCGACCCCGACTCAGACTGCCAACACTCTACGCAGCCACTCCGCTCCCCCTCCATCCGGGGATGGCGCTGCAGTGAATACACCACGAAGGGCTCTCAGGTCCCGCTAGAGTGGGTCCACAAGTCTCAGCTAGGGCAAAGTCAAAGGCTCTCTGAAACAACCCCCCAAACACCACCAACGAAAAGGGAGGAAAAGAAACAAACAAGAATTCGTGTATGTATGTACGGACGGTTTTGTAATGCCCCTCGCATGTGTTACAGGTCGGGAAGAGCCAGTTCTCCCTCCTTCCCACATACACACATACGTACATACGTACACACGCACCCATACACACACACGGTCCCCGCAGACCCGGCCTGGCTTCGACCCGTCCGCCTACAGCCGCCGGGTCCTGGTGCTGCCACCCGCCGACTCCCCGATTCCCGGCTACGGAGGGGCCTTATGTCCGGATTGGCAACAGCGGGGGAGCTTCGGTTGCGATGAAACCGAGGGCTGCGACATCTGGATCCGGGTGAGGTGGTTGGCGGTTGGGAGTCTGTTCGGGGTTGGTTTTAATGGTTTGTCCTGATCCCCTTTTCCTCATTAGCGGTTTATTTCCCATCTTTGTGTGCGGGGGGGAGGTGGAGGTGGAAGGGTGGGGAAGTGGAGTTACGTTGAAGATACCTACCGACCCATGTCCTATGTGGGCTTGAATCGTTGCTACTCGACTTCACCCTTACCCGCCCGCTACGGCCCCTCTAACTCCCCCGGCACATACACATACACATACACTTACACATACACTTACACACGTACACATACGTGTAAACACAGGCCCCACGACGTACCCTCACCCCCAGTTCCCCACCCCATCCCCGCATTTCCCCCCCCCCACACACACACCCGGACCCGCACCATCTTTCAAAACACACACACACACACACACACACACACACACGCACACGCGTACTTCCACACGCAGGGCGACTCGTCCCCCTCCTCGTCTTCAGGGCGGCTACTCCAGCGCTTCTCGACACAGCTCGGGTCGTCCATGCTGCTGCAGCCAGCAGAAACGTCCTCAAGCATCACCTCAACTGCCTTAACCACTTTAACCGCGTCAACCGCCACTTCCCAACAGCCAACTGATCCCACCTGTCCCCTGGGATCGACTGATGCCGGGGCTTACAGGTGGGGCCTTACTTGGGGAGTATGGGGTTGCAGGTGGAGGTGAAGGTGGAGTTGGGGGTGGGTGTTGAGGTTGTTGAGGTGGGTGTTGAGGTTGTTGAGGTGGGTGTTGAGGTTGTTGAGGTGGGGGTTGTTGAGGTTGTTGAGGTGGGGGTTGTTGAGGTTGTTGTTGTTGCTACGGCGGGCTGTGTGTGGCTTTCTTGACTGTGTGGGATGGGTGGGGGGGTGGATGTGTTCCCCCTTACCCATCCTACACATGCACACATCCATACATGCCAGGTTGCCTGTTTTGGCAACTTTTAACCACGTTTGAAATCCTTTCCTTCCCCCTCCCTGGACCCCCCACCTAGACAAAAACATACACATGCACAGACAACAACACACTGTCGTATTTCATCCTTGCAGTTGCTTCAACGGTCCCAACGCCTACAAACTGTATTTGGCCGAACCGGTTCACCGCTTTGACGTCAACAACATCGGGCTGTGTGAGTGGTTCGGGAGGGCGGGGGGAGGGGAGGGGGGAGGGAAGGGGGGAGGAGAGGGGGAGGGGAGGGGGGAGGGGATAGTGTAGACAGTGCCACTTCCTAGGGAGAGTGTGCGCTTGTTTCTCTGCCTGTCTGTCTGTCTGTCTGTCTGTCTGTACATGCATATGTGTGTGTTACATGGTTGGGGGGTGCGTGACCCCATACCTGTAAGACTACCCATACGAGCCGAAGGCCCAAGGGCAATACTACAACGCCTAAAAGCCACGGAGAAAAGGAAAAACACCGCACATCAGCCCAGACTAGCGTCCAAAGGGGGTAATTGAGTTTCGGTGACCCCACATACGTTCCAACATCCTCGCCAGACGTGCTGGCTCCCATTTAATGGCCTCCAACATACTCTGTTGATGATCGAATCCCTCTTCAGCACGAATATCATTATAGGCTGGGCATTCCAATAACACGTGTTTTTTCATCCTCAATTCGGCTATTAGTACCACAACAGTGGCAAAACCGCTGGCCCCTGGGGACATGGTACTTGCCTCTTTCGTGCTCTGTTTGCCTCCAAAGCCCAGCAACAGAAACGAAACTGCATTAGCTTACGATGTGCTAAACGAGGAATGATATGCATATAATAACATGCATATGCGTATGTGTGTGTGGAAAGTTTCTTCACTTGACCTGCTACCTGACCGCTTGGTCATTCGGTCATCGACCCGAAAATTTCAACTCCCTGTTTCTTCCCCGTCTTTCCCTCCCCTGAATCCCTTCTCCAACTGCAAAAACGACCAACCGACTAACCAACTGGCTGGTCAACTGAACAACCAATCAACCGAAGTGGACTTTCCGGATCCAACATCTCGAACGGTTTCATTACCCCCCGCGGCCCTAACCGCCCCCAACCTCCTCCTCGTGGTACCCGACTGGCAGCCGCCGCCGTCCGACGCGCCACAGGTGCTGTACGGACAGTACCGCGCCCCCGTCGGCGGGGATGCCGGCCTGGCGCCGGCGGCGGCTGGCCGGGTTGTACTACACACAGTGAATGCGACGCAGCCGCCGCAGGGCCTGGAACCTGCGCCGCCGTCGGTTCTTCTGGCGGCGTTGTCGCCCGGTAGGGTGGTAGGCGCTTAGGGGGTTCCCTTAGGTTCCCTTAACATAGCGGAATCTCTGCTATGCTATGTTTATGCAAACTCTCTCGGAAGTCCGGCGGAGGCCCGGCACGTTGCACTAAGGCGCTTCTTCGCCCTGAAGCGAACGAGGGAGGAGGAGGCGGATGGTCCACCACGTAACCGCACTAAAAACGATTCACCGTCCATGGCCCCCACCCCCCCAATGGCTTTTACGGATACCCCCGCACTCGTGCGTGGAGCTTGTAACTTGTAACTTGTAACTAGCTAACTAACCTCTTCTGGGTGGGCCTTTGAGAGCAGAAATAGCAGAAATAGCCTCTCCCTTGAAATAAATTGTATGCGCCACATGCACCGGATCCAGTTATACGACCCAAAAAACCCAAAAGGAGGTTTTCTGAAGGTACGGCGTCTGTACGGCGTTGACTCCGATTCCGCATGCTGGAGAGATGCCGTGCTGTTGGTGATGTAAGGTTCTGTTCGCAACGTTGCCGTGGTCCGCGGGAGAGGTGTTCTGATGCCCCCGCCCCTGGAGCGAATGACACCTGCTACCCGCTTGTCCCGTGTACGAGCAGGAGAGTCGTACTGGTTTGATCCTGCCAAGATTGTGGTGAGGTGAGGATTTGAAGGAAAGAGGGCGAGGGGGCCTCCCGCCGAGGGGGGGGGAACTCCCGGGCGGGGTTTTGTGTTTATGTGTGTGTGAGGGGGGGGAAAGGGTTGAGTCCGGGAGATGGGAGAGGGTGGAGAAGACGTGGTTGATGTTGGCGCCTGTCTGTCTATTAGTATGTCTGTATGTCTCTACGTCTATCTATCTATCTATCTATCTATCTATCTATCTATCTATCTATCTATCTATCTATCTATCTATCTATCTATCTATCTATCTATCTATCTATCTATCTATCTATCAAGGCTCCCCGCCCCCTGGAGCTCGGACCCGGAGAGTGAAGTGCGCGAGTGAGTGAGTGAGTGAGTGAGTGGACCACCGCCCACACCACTTCGCGTGTCGTCGTCGTCGTCGTCATGTGGAGCAGCAGTGTGTTTTGTCGCCACATTGTGTGTTTTGTGCCGCAATGACGACCCGGCTTGTCCCCCCGCATGGGAGGGAGCGGGAGGGCCGGGGAGTCCGTACGGGGCGCTTTGGTCCCCCTGGGGGCATATTGCCCTGCTGGACCCCACCGCTGCCCACCCGCCGCTACCTATCCCCCCCCCCACCCCCCCACCCCCCCCACACACACCCTCAGGTTTCAGAGCCTGGCCCCGCCCCCCGAGGAGGATGCGGCTGGGCTGACCGGCGGGGAGGCTCTCCTGGAGCTCTGCCGCTATACGGCACGTACGGAGGCGGACGGCATGGGCGGGTGCTTCGACGGCATGGACAACGAGTGCGTACGGTGTACGACGCTTTGTCATATCTGTCTCCGTCTGTGTTTGTCTGAATGTATGTACGTATGTACATACGCAGCAGCATGTGCACAAATCAGCACAAACTGCAGCGCGTCCTCCTCTTCCCGCAAAGTCCCCCTCACACCATTTGTACGTTTATTCTTTTCCGCTGCTCTCCGCTGGCTCCTCTTCTGGCGCCATATCCCCCCTTCCACTCCCTTCCCCGCCGGGGCCCAACTCGGGAGGTGTCGGGAGGGGACGAGGGGCTAGGTCAGCACACCTAGAGCACACCGCTCACCGTCCCTCCCCCCTCCCCCCTCCCCCTCCCCCTCCCCTCCCCCTCCCTCATCTGTCACCTTTGGCACCCACCGAACTGCGCCGCCGCAGCTGCGATGGGCTGGTCGACTATGAGGACGAGGACTGCATCAGCACGTATGGCTACTGATCTGATCTGATCTGATCTGATCTGATCTGATCTGATCTCTGTGTGAAAAAACGTCTGTGAGAAGACCTGTGTGTGCGTGTGTGTGCCGCGTCAGTGACACAGCATTGAAGCAACAAGTACTTCTTGCGGGAAGCATCTGAAAAAGAAGATGAGGGGGAGATCGATGAGGATGATGAGAATGATGATAAAGGGGTGAGCGCCCCTCAGCACTGAGAGCCGCTCCGCTGCCGCCGCTTTCACACACACGCCCCCGGCCCAGAGGGGAGAGAAAGCGGAGCTGGATGGTTCCGGAGCGAGAACTGAGAGATGATTGCCGCGGTGGCTTGTTTTCTGTAGCCACCTATCGAATTTGCTTTATCGCTGTAATCGATGTGCACGGTGTGAGATGTTTTTTTAATCTCGTGACACCTAATGTTCGTGTCGTACAGCAGCCTGTGTGCGGATGCACATACACAGGTGGTAGCTTTTTTTACTGATGCACTTGCACGGTGAATGTTTGTTTGTTTGTTTGTTCGGTTAGGGAGGCACTCGTTGGTTTACATCGCCACCGTGGCGACGCAAGAACGCGAAAGGCCGCTAAAGGGGAGGAACCGCACGCGAAAGGCCGAAAACAATTTTAGTTTTTCTTTTCAATTGGATGTATAATATGTATTGCCTATTTAAGATGGTCAGGAGAGCTTAGCGAGGGAGTCCCTGAAGCGAGCGGAGGAAGGAAATCTCAGTATCAGGGGGTGAGGAGGGTTGGACTTGGAACGTGGAAGATCCCCCGACGGAAAGAGGGCTGATGTGTGTATGCGTGTATGTATGTGTGGTTTTTTTGTGTGTGTGCCTAAGGTTTGTGGAGAAAACAAGGGGGGGGAGGGGAAGTCGGGGCGCGCAGGCGATGTGGGAAGCTGGCGGGAGCGGAACTGCTCCGGGATGCCCCCCGATCTCTCGCCAACTGCACATACATACATACATACTCACATACACGCACACACACTCTCTCCTTCGAATAATACACACATATAGACATACGTACGTACGTGCACGCGTACATGCTTCTAAATGCGCGGAAACGCAGATATGGAGATGCGCCTTTCTCTTTGTTGGAGATGGTGATGTGTGGGAATCATCCCACGCCACTCCACACCGTCCGTGAACGGAATGAGGAGAAGTCGCATGTTGCCCCACCATGCTTGGGTGTGTATTGCTCCTAGTAATGTTTCCGCGCTCACACACACACACACACACACACACGCGCGCGCGCTCAGGAAAAGAAGAAAGATAGATACATAGATAGATAGATAGGTACAGATCGGTGCTCGCGCTACGCTTGCACCCGGGTACATGTATGCGTCTAAACGTGCACGCACACACACGCACCCGACCACCCATATATGCGCCGCTAGAGGGGGAGGGAAAGGGAGCCTTCCCTCCCCTCGTTATCTGAGAGATCCCAAAAAGGATAAACGCGATTGACGATTGAGACGTGATGGGACGGAGCCAGAGGCGGAGACGACGGCGAGTCTGTTGAAGAGGCGATGGTGCATCGCAGAGGAACAGCACCGCTTGTTGTCGCCGTTTGTTGCGCCGTTTCGGGGCCCTGGGGAGATTTCCAAGTCGGAAGGAAAGGATAAGAGAGACAGAAATAGCGATTTTTGGAAAGTTTGGAAATAGGATTTCGGCTTCTATATATATAATGTATTTCGTATTAGGGATGGTATCTTCGGCGGATAGGAAGGGAAGGCCGACGCGTTATAAATATTTCGAGTCATCGGTTTGCCTTATGGTGTCCTGTAAATTTACCTTATTAGCTTTTGTATATATGCCACCATCGCAAAACACTTTGGCCGTTGCTGATATCCTTTCTTATCAGGCAGTAATTTGAGTGATTTGAGTGATTGAGCAGCTCACCAAGGTGCAACAACTACACTAGGTGCCTGAATGACTCCCTCTTAACTGTCATACACTCCGATGGAAGGGTCTACCGATAGATAGCCGCACCCAAGCCTTATACTGCTGTTGAAAGAACCATTGATCGATATGTTCTCGGCGGGGAGTAGAGATGAAACCTAGGTAACCGACCCAGCCGGCCACCCCCCCATCAGTCATCACCCACCCCTTTCCTCCTCAGGCTTTCCAACATATATCTCTTGCTGTGGGCTTCTAGGTTGTAATAACGTTAAGATCGAGAAACTCTTCGCCCGTGGTGATTCAGCACTGTTACAACACACAGACACACATACGCACACACCGAAAAAAAGAAACCGCATAGGCGGTGCGCATCTCCCCACATGCCAATGGCAGCAGAGATATGGGGCGGGAGTTGGGATTATCTCACCGATACGCCGACACCATACACAATGCCAAGCGCGCCGTTCATCATGATGGGCCAGTGTGCATACGTGCGCCATCACATGCTATGCTCCCTTTTGTTTCTTTCCCATATGATGCATCAAACACCACAAAAAACGCAGAGGAGAAAAATGAAACAAAAGGGCGATAGCTTTAGCGGGACACGGCATTATTATTCGCCTTTCATTCCCAGAGTGCGACTGTGTACGCTGCTGTACTACGAATGTTCTCAAAAATACATCGAATCAATTTCGATCACCCATGAACCCATGAAACCACCTTACCAACAAACAAATTACAAAACGCGACGCCGTGTGAGTGCTTGAAATCTGAAGCGCATCATCTCGCCGCGCACATCCACTTCACAAACCCACACGCACACACACCTGTCGCGCTAATTGTGGCGAACCAACAAAATACCATCCGACACAACACGTCAGCAATGTGTCACACACACATCACGCGATGTAAGCACACATCGTAACTTGGCCTCCAAAAACACCGCAATACCAAGCTACAAGAGCACAAATGATAGAAAGAGAATTTGAACCTCCATTAAAAGCGGAAAGGGCGGGAAGAGGCGGCAAGGGAGGTGTGTTCCATGGCTCGCATTGTGTCGGCCGGGGGTCAGAGGCAACGACCAGAGGCAGAAGGGCAATGTCTGTTTGCTACGCTCGCTCGCTCGCAACCCGTGTGGTGCTCCGCGGAGGGTCGTACCGACGTCGTCGGAAGGATGTGGATTGGTATAGGAGGCGGCCGCCGTGCGTGTGTGCGCGATACGAACATGTACAGATGTACGAGACAGACCAAAGAATTGCCACTAGTCTAGACCGGGCACCAAGAGGAAATCACCTCCCCCGGAGTCTTCACCCCTTTTTAGAGATTCCCCCTGTAAATATCACGACGGGAGTAAATCAGCAAATCCGTCTGTCTGTCTGTCTGTTTGCCTAACAGCGAGAGTGGGGTCAGCACGTGCCGCGCCGCCGTCGTACAATAGGGCATTATAGGACCGGCGGGGATAAAGGAGCAGGACCGCAAACACCCATTGTCGTACACTGCTTCCTCCTCCTCCTCCACACAGAGGTGGGTAAGCAGTCACTCCCGTACACCGCCCTGCAGGTGCGGGTGCTGCCGCCTGTCTGTGCAGGTGCTGGGCCTGCTTCTGCTGCAAAAGCACTCCTCTCCTCCCCCCTGCACCTCCTCTGCCGCGCAACAGCTCCTTTCCGACTCCTTTCAGACACAGCAAAAAGACCCACCAGCCACCCTGTCATCACCCCACCCCTCATACATCCACGACACCCAAACCCATACACACTCCCGCCCCTCCTGCCGGTCCCACCAGCACGTGCATGTCTGTCACCAGCAGGCGCACACAGCGGGATAATCACGGGCCGCCCTCTCCTCCCTTCCCCCCGTTGACCCCCCCCCCCAGTGGTATCATATTACACATCTTGACATGTGCATCATCATCAGTTCCAGGACGTGCCGGAGGAGGAAGAGGCGGCGGCGGCGGCGGCGGCGGGTGAGGTGAGGGGTCAGATTTCAAATCCGGCCGCCGCCAAGTACTCGCGGTACGCATCCGGCTGGGGCCCGCCGTTGCCCCCCAGACCGATGGGCGCGCGGAGTATGTGGTCCGGAATCGCAAACGAGTCCACCTGCAGGTCACACGGACATACATACGTATATATACACAAACGGCAACACAACTCAAGAAACAGCACACAACAACATCAACACCGCACAGCGCCTTCTAAAGGGCTTCTCCCTCCCCTTAATCAGCCTTCATGATCTCACATTTGTGGTTCAACCCTTCCAAATCCGTGTGAAGAATGTCCATGAGTGACGGTAAACTCACTCACTCCTTGCACCAATGCATACGACCACCTGCCCTCTCCTCCCTCCCTTCCTTAGTTAGTTAGTGCGAGATACTCCTAGTCTGCCGGTCACTTCCTTCATGTCCCTGCTGTATGACGTACACAGCGGCCGCCTCTCCTACACACACACACACGCCTTAGCATGCCCCTCTTCCCACCCCTCCCCCTCCTCCACCATATCGACACGCCGACTCCCCCCGTGGCATACTCCCCCACCGCCACCCCACCGCCATCCCACACACCAGGTTAATGGCCACTCCGCGCAGCTCGCTGCACAGCTGCACCACAAGTCGACTGATGGCCTTCGCCTTGGACGGCGCAATGTACTCATCGTTCCTGAGTGCCACAACATGAACGAGGGTGGGGGTGGGCGGGTGGGCGGGGGGGGGTTGACCCTCTTGCGGGTTGTAAATGGCAATATATGGGGGTTACTAATTACCCGCTACTACTTCTTTAACCCCCACACAGACATCCCAGCCACCTTCCGACAGCAACCCACCTCTTATATGCTGTGTCTGTTACCATCATCATTATTGATACTTGACCGCTAATGTTACAGCTTTATTATAAAACCAAGAGACACAAAGCAACCGCAAGTTATACACATGCGGCCGTCCACGTGGGGAGCTGCGTCACCACCACCACTATACCCCCCCTGTTCCCCCCCCCCCCCCC